GTTTGCTCCCTTCATAATTTCCTATATTTTGGGGGGTATACAAACCTGCATGGTCCTGTGTGAAAAAGTGATTCTCCACAATGAACTCCAGCAACACTTAAGGGAAGAGGAACAACTTTATTGAACTATCACACCCAAGTAAAGACTGGATTAGATCATTAATGATAAGGACGGGGGGAGGAGACATAATCCCCACCAAAAAGTGATTGTCCCCTAAACCTAATAACTGGTTGGGCCACCCTTAGCAGTGACACTGCAATCAAGCGTTTGCGATAACTAGCAATGAGTCTTTCACAGTGCTGTGGGGGAATTTTGGCCCACTAATCTTTGTAGGGTTGTTGTTATTCAGCCACGTTGAAGGGGTTTTGAGCGTGAACTGCCTTTTTTAAGGTCATGTCACAGCGTCACAATCGGATTCAGGTCAGGACTATGCCACTCCAAAGTCTTCATTTAGCTTTTCTTAAGATGAACATTTGTGTTTTGCAAAATAACCCCAGACCATCACACTACCACCACCATATTTTGCTGCTGGTAAAATGTTCCTTTCCTGAAATGATGTGATGCTTTTACACCAAATGTAACAGGACACACCATTACATTTGGTGCATTACTCTGTGCATGCGGGTGGCCACAGAGCCCAGGAGGCAGGGTTATCCTGGGACAAGATCTGGATTTTTATCTGGGTGATTTTGATAAACATCAGAATTTTGTCGGTGAGATCTGTGATGTGAATATGTGGGACGTTGTTCTGGCACCGGGCTTAAAGCCAAGCTAGTCACAATGAGAGTCACCTCGTTGTGACGTTAGTTGAGCTTTGCTAGGCACTTCAGCTAACAAGCTAGTGCTAGCCTAACACTTGCTAACACATAGCTTGTGAAAAGGCTCTCTATGTCGTGTTAGCCCAACAACACAAACACTACTCGTTAACTAAAACCAGACAACTGCTGGAATAGCTCGCACCGGAAAACTCTTCTTCAATTAGATTGCATTCCAGGAATGCCTGGGAACTGAACTGCTGCTGCTGGTGGTACCCACGCACAGCAAAAACTGGTTAAAAATCATCAATGAGAGAATCCTTCAAGGTTCTTATTTTTGTATGAAGAGCACAACATACAAGATACAGAAAGATATCACATGAAGTAAGAAAACCAGAAACCTATCCGGTCGTTAAATCTGACGTCACTAGCCGTGTCTGGGCCTAAACTCCGCT